TATAATATATATATATATATATATATATATATATATATATATACTTGTTGAACGTCGAAATTAAAAGAGAATTGGAAAAAATACGCGTACGGATTGGATCGTTGCTTCGTCGACACTTTATTGATTGGTGCTGGTCATAAAACGACTCGTCGCTGCGATACACACTTTCCTGATCGTTTCTCCCGTCTTTGAGTTCTTTTTTTTTTTTTTTCTCGTTTATGCACTTTTCGCGATTATTCGGGGGCCTCCCTTCAAATCTTGGCCACGCAACCGTGTTCCTTCTTCAGATGATTGAGCAGGTTGAACTTCATTGGCATGATGCTGTGGCAAAAGGGACACGTGTACAAAACCCTACCGCATTCCTCCCGTACGTGCCGATTTAGGGCCATTCTCGATCTGTACGTTTTCTTGCACTCGCAGCACGCGTGGAAACCTGAAAACGAAGGAAGAAAGGTATCTTTGAGTAAAAACCTGGCTCCATCGACGATTTTTCACGAATAAGCGAGATAGTCGCTTCACAAAAGCATCAGCAAAGCATACTATCCTCTCTCTCTCTCCCTCTCTCTCTCTCGCTCTCCTCATGTCGTCGTTTCTTTCTTCCCTCGATGACTCGATTTCGGTTTTCCCTTAATATAAAAGCGTGTACGTTACTTTAATCTTAACAAGCGTAACGTTGTTAACACACCTCGAAGTAAGTTATTAACGATTCATCTTTTGCTAATATGTACATACATAAAACGTAACGTACAGGTTAACTCCCTAATCCTATCTATAAGAAACCGGCAGAATCACGTTTAGAAAAAAGACTTTATCTGCTATCATTTCGAAAGCTAAACAAATCGTTCTGTCTATCGTATATATGGAATAGGCCTGTTCAAATTATTCTCGATACGTTTGAATAGTTCCAACACTCGTTACCAGATGTCTCCCATTGACTCTTACTCTACGAGAAATAAAATTCCATCCAAAATTGTGTCGTCACAGAGATCGTCTGCGGAAACGTTGACATAATCAATGTAATAGATAATCTCCAGGCGAAATGTTCCTTTTCGTACCTTTTAACACAGATTTCTTCCTTTCCTCGGCCATGCCTCCTCTCTCCGCGTCATAAACTTGTGCCATAAAGAATAGATTGGAGATCGTGTTAATATTACGAATTGACGGACGAATTTCCAACAGAAAAAAATTCGATCATGAGTAGAGACGAGTTTCACGAACAACGAGTTTTCTGGACGATCTGGAACAACCCCGCCATCTAGCGTGACTTCGATAATTTTTTACCTCGAGCTCCTTCGGCTCGAGCCTTTTACCCATGCGCGAATGACGTTTATAAGGCTTTCTTTCGATGCTTGCGCTAGGACAGTGAAGGATAAGATATCTTGCCGTACTTCTCTCGATCCAAATTTCTCTTCCATTCGAACGTGTGTTGCCGCAAGAACCGCACGTATAAGTAACTGAAACACGTAAAACAAATTACTCGTTATTAAGAAAGATCTGATAAAAATCTCGTTTACTCTTCTGCCTTCGTCGTCGAACTAACGTTTCCATTCTTCTTCCATTCGTTCGTTGTTCCTGTTTCTCTGCTATTCTTCTCTGTATGAATAAAAAGGAACAATGTGAAGAAAAATAGGAGAAAGAAAAAGACAGAAAGATAGAGAGAAAGAGAGAGAGAGAGAGAGAGAGAGAATAAAGTGAATAGAAATAAAAGTAAATAATACTCTCTTTGTCATCGATCGCCTAAAAAAGACAGTTTTCTAACCATCAGTTTACGATACTCTTCTGTTTTCTTTATTTTTTGGTATTACGAAAATACATGCATTTACGAGTAGAGCAGGGAGAGAGGGGGGGGGGAGGGAGAGTTAGGAGTGTTAAATTCGCGATGGCCGTGTTTTAACGAGCATCAATTCGTCACGGATCACGCTCGCTATGTGAGGAACAACGCAATTCGAGTCGACGCTTTTTTATCCTTTTATATATATATATATATATATATTAATTTTTAGTTTTTCCTTAAATCTAAGAGCGGTGTAAAATCAGTCACGCGTTTACATAACGAACAACTGGCGAACTGGTTTGGTTTAAAAAGTTAAAAATCACGGGAGGGAGGGAGGAAAATTGTCCTTAATAGTTAAGATTCCTGCCACTTTTTTTTCTTCGAGAGAGAGAGAGAAAGAGAGAATATACGAGACCTGAAATGATGTACGAGTCGAGCGTACGTACGTATATACGTATATAACGAAGCAATGGACTACGACGAAAAATTATGCTTGCGTTTTGGACTAGCAATGTACAGAAAGACGGTTCAAATCTTGGTAAGATATATGATTAACGATATTACGAGAAACTTTCCGTTTCGTACAACTTAAACTACTATTTTTGACGTTTTTTTTTTTTTATTTTTTTTTGTTTTTTTTTGTTTTTTTTGTTTTTTTCTTTTTCTTTTTAATCGTTCGACGTGATCGTCCAACGAAGAGAGAGACAAAAGAGGGAGAGAGAGAAGAAAAAAAAGGAAAAGCAATTCTTTAAATAGAATCGGACGTAACGTTTTCGTTCTCCATATTACTCCGTATCGAAAGTCTGAATTTAGAGTAAGAAAAATTTGAATAGGATCGGGTAAAATCGCAATGGATTCTTGGAAAATAAAAATTTTTCTTCAAGATCTCAAGACTCGATTTCGTGAATTTTACTTTGAACGGCAGTCCGACTTCGATACGGTTCGACAATGGTCGGTCTTCGACCGACTGCGTCCGATCATTGCCGAATCGATCCGAAGTCCGATTATATGTTCCCCGTCTCACGATTCTACCCGAAGTTTCGCCCGATTCTACTCGAATTTTCTCGACTCAACCCGAACCTATGATTACGGAACAACGCACTATACTCGTGTAATGTTAAAAATCGAACTGCGCACGCTAGTAGAATCGTAACCTCGGTCGCTATTCACTTTCTTACCGGATCCTGAAACATTCGTAGGACTTATATTAATATAATAATCGCGAAAAGCGCGAAAATTGAAACGACACAGGCGACGCTGACTACTGAAAAAAAAAACGAGCAAAGCGAGAACAAACAATGGAAAGAGAGAGAGAAAGAGAGAGAGAGAGAGAGAGAGAGAGAAAAGGAGAAAGGAAAAGAAATGAAAAATCCGCGCTTTCCACTCTGCACCGCTAGTTTTCGTCGTCGATTGAAACACCGTTTCCGCTATAGGAGCTGGCAGGCACGAGGAAGCTTCGACGCGAGTTTAAGGCAATCGGTTGCCGCGTGACGCGGATCGGGGGAACGCTCGAATCGGATTCGAAGGTTCAGGTGTTCGGTGACGTGACCTTGAAGTGTTGCTCAGCCTGATGGGCGTGCAGTATGAAGGCCTTGAACGCAGCGAAAGGACACAACGGGCACTTGAACTGTGGCGGTTCGCACTTGTGCTTCAAATAGTTGCTCCACATCTTGTAGAACTTGCTGCACATTGTGCACGTATAGCCGAGAACCTGGTCGCCCATGTACATCTTCCGGTAGGCTGAAAACAGAGGGACCAAGTTAGATCGATAGGCGAGCAGTGAGTTGGCTTGAGGAGAGAAAACAGGGTATCTGGCATCCTCGATCGAATCGTGTCCGATCTACACCGAGTTTGAGAGAGAGAGAGAGAGAGAGAGAAGAAAAAAAAGAAAAAAACACATCTCGCAATATGCTCAAAATGGCGAGGCCAGTTTGACTTCGATCGAATTAGACTCGACTCGATTCGATCGGTAGAATTCGAGTTATGGTGATGGGCAAATTCGTGGTTAGAGGAAACCAAAGGAGTTTTCATCAACATGTATAACGCATTCCTGCGGAATCTGTTTATTACAGAAAGATGAGAAGTGATCTCGTCACTCGGGCGCAAGCGTGGATTTGTTAAGTTTTTTTTTTTTTTTTTTTTAAGATAATCACTCACTGCCACGTTAACGTAGGTGGTAGGGTTAAAGCGACTAGCCGCAACGAATTATTACGAGATCGTTGCCTTCCTCTTCGTATCCGCTCTAGAATCCCTTCTTTTCGGGTCGTCGTTGAATCCCTCCTCGCCTTTTTTTCCTCTATACATACATATAGCACCGCTGCATCGGCGAATTTATCGCCAATTTCACGCATTTTCAAAAGGTATAGATATATGTATATATATATATACTCTTTGTATATATACGATAAAGCATGCATCGCTTTGTATCGTTTCGATCGCGATCGATTCGTGCTCGATCCACCCGTTAAAATATCTGTAGCGAACATCTTTATGAAATTTCGGTTACGAAAGAGTAGATGTAAAGAGAAGAAAAAAAAAAAAAAAGTCGAAATGAGTGAGCATGTTCGCGATTGTTATCGGTCGACCTTCGTCGAAAAATACGAAACGCATGCGACAAATACGTATTTCACACGCAGAAACGTATGTGTATGCTGTGTGTGTCTATGTATGTGCTGTGTGTGTGTGTGTGTGTTTCCGCAAGAAAGAAAAAGAGGAAGAGAAAAATAAAATACGAGGAAAAATATTCGTCTAAATACTGCCATTTAGATAGACCAGCTTATCACAGATATGGTTTGCTTGAAACGCTAATTTGTAAATGTACCTTAATGGACATATATACGCGAGATATGTGTCATCGATAGAACAAAAACACATATATATATATATATTTATCGATAATTCTTTTTTTTTTTTTTTCCAAGTTCGATCACGCAAAAATCGAACCTCATTTCCCTTCGACCGTGTCACATCGTATCGTGTAATAAAAGTTTATTAAAATGGAAAGGGAATGGAAATTCCATTCAATGGAGTTTTCGAGGAAAAGAATAATCAGAGCCGATTGTACATTCGTGCGTTCAATATGATTCGATATTCAAATATTCTCTCTTAAAAATATCGTCTCTAATTGCACCGTCTTGTCCACTTTTTCTTCGTTGTCTTCCTTCCGAAGAAAACGAACGAGCGAACTATCGATTGTAAACGTTGCTGTGATGTTTCTTTTTATGATTCTCCATGCACCACTTGTGAGGGCTCTTATAGGGGCAAGCGTCACACGCGAATTTCGGCTTGGCGTTGATGCACTCGAATTTTCGATGTCTCCACAGCGACCTGTGAACCGCGTACGCTTTCCCACAGTCGACGCACACGAAACTTCTCTCTCGAATATCCAAATTGCCAGCTTGACGGAGTTGTTGTTGCTGCTGCTGTTGTTGTTGTTGTTGTTGTTGTTGTTGTTGTTGCTGTTGCTGCCAATCGTTCCTTCGAGCAACTCGATTCTCCGACTCGAGGGTGTAGACATTCTTGTAATTCCACAACAATGCTGAAACAACAATACCAGATCGGTTAATACGATCGGATCGACCACGAATCTCGCGAAACGATACGTAACCATTTTTTTTTCTTTTTTATTGAGCACATAGATAATACGATTTGACAAAATTGTATCTTTTTTGTTTCTGGCCACGCTGACATTCGAGAAAATATATATATATATATACTCCTTTTCTCACTGTCATTGAAGAGACGAGTCCAGCACGAGGGCAGAGCCTGAAAATAATTTTCAAACAAAAGAAGAAAACAAAAATGGAATATGGTGTAAAATTTGTATCGTTTTCTTTTTCTTTTTTCTTTTTTTTTTTTTTTCTTTTTGATAAATATCAATACAAGGAAAACGTCCACACTCCATGATACGACGAAGAGACCTATGGAATGATTTATTTTTTTTATCCTCGAGTTACAAACAACCTGAGCATTTGTTGTTTATTTCGATAAATTATGTATACATTATCATCAATCGTGGATGAGAATATATATCGAAAATTCGGTTGTCGGATATTTTATAATGTTAATACAAATTAATTTACAGTTTAATAAGGTTGTAAGTTCAAATGATTTATAAATCGCGTATTACTTCGATCCTCTTTCTCGTATCGGAAAATGTTACGCAAAATACGTTATATGCGCTCTCTAATTATACATACGACGACTACATTATTGTCGGTTTCTAAAAGAGAATTAAAATTCTATTTGCCTCGGAGGGAAAAGCGCTTCGAGTATAATACTGATATTTTTTTAAACTCAATTTTAAAAGATACGCGTATGATTTTTTACACAAATTACATAAGTAATTTTTGCTTAATAATAGTATTTTACGCGTCATTAATCACCACAATATGAAAATGTATATATCTTTATTACAATTTCATCTTCTGATGAAAGGAGAACATTAGGCTTGATAAAAATACGATGATCGAAATCACAGGTTCGAATTCGAATTGTTATAATGCTTGGCAATATTTTCTATCGGGTAGTTCAAGTTACTTTGAATAATTTTTTGGTAAATGGCCTAATATCTTTGAATAATTCGTTATTTTCGAACTTACTTCGACTAGCGTCGAAATCGGGCGAGATACAATCCGAGATACTATTGTCGCACGTCTTTCTAATCTTCTCGCACCGAATTCACTCGAGTTTGTCCGACGCGACCCGAAGCGTCGAATTACACGAAAATTTCGGGCAAGGTCGGGTAAGTTCGGTTCATGGGAATTAACGAACCGAATAGAATCGAGATCGCGGGCCGAATCCGCCCGACTTCCATCGATGCGACCCGAAAACGTTCAATTATAGATAACAGAAGGAATTGGAAGACTATTCGAAAGAACTGAAATAGTGCAAATTTTACTCGAATTTATCTTGATTATCAGTCCCGAGATTCTCCTAACGGATAACGTAACGTAATCTACGAGTGTTACTACTCCCGTCACTCTGTTAAATTCGATGAATGGTGAAAATAATTATTCGCGCACAACTATTGCTTCGTTTCGTTCGGTTCGGCTGTACGATGAAACGTCTTCATGTGCCTTCTCACGCAGAACGAATAATTGCTACGAAAGTTGCACAGATCGCAGCGAAATTTCAACACGCCTGTATCGTGAACGTTTCGCACGTGTCTCTCCATGTTCGCCTTGTAAGTGCTCTTGTATTGGCAGAAGGAGCAGGCGAATTGCGAATTTCTCGGATTCATCTTACAACCGAATTGCACGTGCCTCCTCAACAAATTCTTCAATGGGAACACCTTCTTGCAGAAACCGCACATGTGTCGCTTGTGACAGTTCAACATGGATTGCGCAGCCGCGGTTACCTTAAACTTATCGAATTCCGGGGGGAGTTGAAGAGCATCGACGGGGCCGTAGTCAGCAACATAACCTTGTACGTTCCATACCCCTGAAACAGAGCAAAAAGAACACCGATGAAGCAGAGTTCGCGTTGGAAATAGATGTCGGTAGTAGTACTCTTCAGACCTAATATTCGTACGTTCGAATTCGTGAAATAAATTCGTGCTCCGTTTAAGAGATCATTCCTTCGATCATTCCCCCTCAACGAAGAATCGTAACGTCGTAATTTCCTCCTTTTTTGCATACGATTTTTGCATATGCTTGCGCCGTGAACGGGACCAGGGAAGTAAGTACAAGTATTTCAAATTATGCGTACGTAAAAGAACGCGACGAGCGAAGGAAGAAAAATAAACTCGATATTCTCGAGAGATTTGCAGCAAGCTATGCTCGCTGCAAATGGACGACGTGTAAATGAGTAAAACGTGTGGCGTACATGTTTATTTTAAATAATTTAAAAATAATATATATTATTTATTTAAATAATATTCAAGAGAAGCGAAAGTAATAGAAAATCTAATCCTCTGTCGATAGATTTACCATGTTTTCTTTCAAAAATCGATCCTCACGATCGAACTTTTCGACTTCGATTTTCGACTTTCTCGATCCGTTGCCCGTTCTCGCGGATTGCACAACAATTTAGAGGCCGGGGGGGGGGGAGAGAGAGAGAGAGAATATGGTGTTCGTCGCGTGGAATCGCTGCGGACCGAGGTGAGAAGCGGCGGCGTGAACGTGGAGGATGGACGTGGCGGGGAAAGTTAATACGCTAAGCGGGTAGCCGCGAGTGCACGTGTCTCATGTGCCTGAAGAGTATGTCCTTTCTGCTCGTTCTGTAGTCGCACAACTTGCAGCAGAACATAGGTGGTAATCCGCAACCGGTGCTCAAGTGGCGTTGAAGGCTCGCCTTCCAAGTGTAACCTTTGCCGCACTTCGGGCAGACAAAGACGGGTTTGCCCCCGGATTGGTCAGGCGTCAGCGAGTCGTCCAATTGTTGGCCCGACAAGCCGCCCCCTAAAAATCAAAAGCGATCGAGTTAGAAAAAAAAAAAAAAGTACGTCTTTCGTTTTCGTAATCCCTTCGAGAAACATCGAGACGAAAGTGGTGCTGCTTTTTCGAACGCGCACAAATTTTTCGCCGTTCATCCCTTCTGCTAAAGCGTTATTCTGCAAAAAGAAAAAGAAAAGAAAGGAAAAAAGAATCGCAAAAAAGAAAGAAAAATCGACGAAGAAAGAAACGACGAGGACAATGATCGAAAGATGGAATGGCGATCATTGAAACCCTTGTGCGCTATATTTATGTGTCGCTATGGGGAGAAGAAAGAAGTTTGCACTTTACGTTGATGTACGACGATTTCTTGGATCAGATACGTTTATTGCATATTCACCAACGTTAACTACAACTTACTGATAAAACGCAAGAAATTGGATAACACTCGGTCGCAAAAATATTTGTACACTATTTTACAAGGAAATTCTGATTTTGATGAAAGTTTTCGAATCCATTAAGAAAAATCTCTTAAAGTTTCAATGTTAAAATTATGTTTTCAAACTTTATTAGAATTTCATTCTTATCTCATCTCTTGAAAGTTAATAACCGAAAGAAATTACACACATTCTCTCTCTCTCTCTCTTTCTCTTTTTCTGTGTATATTCTACATACTTACAAAATTTCGTCAAAAACAGAATTTGCCTCGATATTTCGACACAAATCGCGTACGAAGACTCGCAGTCATTTTGGCCAAAAGAAAGATCTTCGTTTCTTTTTTTTTTTTTTTTGCTTCTCAAACCGTGAATCCGATTACACGAAAAAAAAAAAAAAAATACACGTGACGACGGTACTAATATATCTCTTCGGTAGCGTGCTCGCGCACGACGTGATACTTGAGCAGGGTCGGTATTCTGGCTCTATGCGTGCAATAAGGGCAAGGATAGAGCGGTTCCATTTGGCAGAAAAAATTCATGTGCTTCCTTAAACTCCTCCAGTCGCTGTACTTCTTCGTGCACTTCAAACAGAGAAGCTCGTCCTTGCACCGCCTCCAAATATCGCGCGGGAGTTGGTCGCAAAAAAGTGGACCTTTGGCTGAAACAGGGATCGGAATGTTGCATCAGTCGGTGATCTATCCGTGTAAAAGGAGGGGGGTAAAAAGAAAATAATAATAAAAAAA